CGCCGATCCCCTCCCCCATCTCCCTCCCTCAAACGCGGCCGCCCATCGCGGCCGCCCCCGCCACCTCCCGTCGCGCCCCCCCCACCACCTAGGGTTGTGCTCTTCTCTGGCGTCGGCGCGTCGCCCTCGGCCCGATCTCCGATCGCCGTCCTCCACCGCGTCGGCGGCGGCGCCACCTGCTGCTCCTCCTCACCGCCCAACTGCTCGCGCTCGCCCTCCTCACATTCGCGCTCCAGTGGCGTGGCGGCGGCGTGGACGACGCCGTCTCCCCTTGCCTGGCCGTGCCGGCCCCGTCGAGGTTGCAGTCCCTCCAATCCTTCGCCGCCTCCTGCGTCGAGGTGCTCGCCGCCCCCGCCTTCCCCTACCTCTGCGGCTGGTCCTTCCACTTCGACGCGTCAGACACACACCACCCCAGAGTACTACCTTTCCAGTCTCACCTCCGCCCTCTTCCTCGCCGGTCGGCGACCGATGTATCCGACCTGTGAAGCAGGAAGCTTGTTCGATGAGAGAAATCCCTGCCTCACGATTTGCTTCGTGAAGGCCAGAATTTCGCTTTTTGTTTGTCTACTGAAAACCTCCATGTGGGGATAGATGTCATCATAGAATGCGTGCAGTAAAATTATTCTGACTGTATTCCGTATCATTATTTTGGTTAGTCTAAAAGAAATAATTTGGTTAGATTTGTCTTGAAGAATAGATTCAACCTATATTTCTAGGTTTTGATACAAAAAATAGAAATTTGTTGCCAAAGCTGTGTATGGAGACTATTTCAGTATCTGGAAGTACACTTGTTACCGGAGGCATGGCCGCTGTTGCTGCCAACATAGTGGCAGTGAGCGCAATCTGGGAGTAACAAGCACACTGATTAGTAGGTGCGTTGTCCCTAGATTTTTTTATCCATGAGTATACCGTAGTAAATTGCATACCTCATTGGTGTATAGGGATCTAATGTAACAAAACAATGGTCCATTATGTTCCACTGGCTCTGATCTCAGTTAAAAGTTACCTGCAATTTTTATCCTTATTTTATTTATTCGTATGGTCCATTATGTTCCCAACTAACCGTTGCTGATATTTGTTTTTAGGAGGGGATGGAGAGCTTTACAAATGGGAATGTTAGGTTATTGAAGCATGAACGCAGCATTGTTGCAGATGATGATCTTGACCATCGGGGGCAGGAAGCCACTTGAGAGGCTGTTTACGAGGTCTCCAACCGCCCTGCACTCACTGTCCATCCAATCAGTTGGTTCCGCATTCATCTGTCTGTATCTTGTTTAACACATAGGTGCAATCAAACCTCGATATGTTATGTGTAAAATCCTATTAAATACGTAAATATGATACCATATACAAATTGTTAATACATTCGAAAGTTACTGCACTTATTCTTCTAGCATACTGGCAGTTAATTATATTCTATATTTTTCCTGATTTCCATGTATACTGTGAGCCTGCGATTGTTTGGTTTCATGGTTTGTGAGCAATGTCCATGCTTTTCAACCCACATGCATACAGGCATGTTGATTACTAATTAGTGGTTCCTTCTTACCACAATCATTGTTTTATAATTGATGGTTTGCTCATTCTTGTGAATCTACTTCTGAAGGTGTGCCACATCTGAGGGAGGATGAGACCCCCCCCCTCAAGGTGGGAGGCCTGGATGGGCAGCGGTGCCAAACCCTCGAATTGGCCCATGGTTCCGGTTGATGCAAAAGGTTGCTGCAGACCAAGGTCTTGTTCCAGAGTTTGAGGTACGTTGCTTCCTTGATGCCTTTTCTATTTCTGAATCAACTGATTTTAATACTGATTGCTTTTCAAGATTACACTTGAAGCTACTCAGCACGGACCACCATGAAGCTACTCACCATGGCCGATGTGTCCGACCTGCTGATCTTTTACTTGCTTGCCAGGTATGCGTGCAAACGAGCACCTCCGCAGGCCTGGACCAGATCCTGCCGTGGCTCTTCTACCACAAGGTCATCGGCATCACACACTTTTTGCTCTTCGTCGAGGGCAAGGCCGCCAAGCCCAGCGTCGCCGGGGTCCTCGAGTCCATCCCCGTGCGTTCCTCGCTTGAGATTTCCAAGAATCCAGTAGTACCAATTTCACTCTGCTTGTTCTCAATCTCTGACTCTGTTTCTCTTCTTCTTCTTTAGGGGTGTGAAGGTGGTGTACAGGACCAAGGAGTTTGAGGAGCAGCAGGCCAGGTGGTCTGAAACAATCTTCGCCGCCCGCATGCCTCGTCGGGCTTTACACAAATTCATTTCGATGCCCATTCTGATGATGTATATGTTTCACCTGCAGCCGAATCTGGAACGAAACCTGGCTCGCAGGATTCTTCTACAAGCCTTGCAACCACAAACTGTTTTTGAAGCAAGCACTCAACATGGAGATGGCCATTGTGATGGCCCGGGTATGTATGTTTGTTTTCGGCTTATCACCAGCAATTATTAATAGTGTCCGTTTAGTGTATTGTATTTATCATAAACAAAAAGCATTTTTCTTCATGGTAGGAATCTGGCATGGATTGGATAATGCATCTAGACACCGATGAGTTGTTATATCCCGGTAGTATTCCATCAGACGCCTGTTAGCTGACGTCCCTGATGATGTTGACATGGTTATTTTTCCTAACTATGTAAGTATATGGTGGTCCTAATACACCTGCTGGACTTCTTATGCATAGTAATTAACTTGCATGTCTGCACTCTACAGGAAAGCAGCATCGAGCGTGATGATATAAAAGATCCATTCAGTGAGGTAAACCTTCTCTGTATTTAAGAACATAATTTCCTCAAGTTCCGTTGGATATAATGTTGGCTGATGTAAACAACTTATGTCTAAATACTCTGATATGAATTTTGTTTGTTCGGTTTACGTCTGAAGTATGATACTGTGGTATGATTTATGTGTGTCTGATACTGTTTACATTTGCTTGAAAAAATAGTTCCGAGTTGCCTTGTTATCTGCGTAGCTTGCCATACTTCTGTTTAGCCTATAATCCCAGAAATAAGTTCTTATGCTCTTTTAGTGTAGACTGGGCATGGATCTAGCTAATTTTGCATATTACTCCGAAAGAGAAGAGAAGAGAATGAAAGAATATTAGACCTCTGGTATGTGCAACAAGTCATCGCTCACAACAGATTAAGTAACTTTGATGAATTTTGACATTCAATTCTTTGTTGTTTGTTAAATTTAATTAAGAGCGCCGAACCTAGGTGTGTGCAGCCTTGCTTTTGTCTCTACTCCTAATGGAGCAGTTGGTAGGATTGTGTCCACGGCATGGTTTTTTTTGTCCCACCACTTTCGTTCGGTTTTTTTCCGTCCCACCTCCCACCACCACCTGCGGAAGCCGAGGGCACGCCGCCGCCTCTGCCGATCCCTAGGGACGCCGCCTCCGTGGATGAAGTGGTTCCATTCGATCGGTACACAAGAGGAACCCATGTGTGGCCACATCACCCCTGACATGTTGATGTGCATGGAGTATTCATATGATACACAAGGACAGGAAATCTAGCAAGTAATGTTCTAATCAGTTGGGTTATCCCCTTTTGAAAAAAATCTTAATCAGTTTATTGGTTGATTTGATTGCATTAGGTTATTTCTAATTATGTTCGAATTTCATCATTTTTGTACTTAAGTTTGTTTCTCTCATTGAATAAATTGATTGCCGATCCTATAGGCTGGGTGAGAAGCAAAGAAGGGTCACGGTGAACTATTGCTAGCTTGAGGAGATGCTCACATGAAGACATGGTTGCCGAAGGTTGCATACAACTAAAGTGAACTTCTCTTTGAAAATCTCATAATTGTTTCACTTACCTTCTTTTTACTATCAGCAGTTTCTACCTTTTCAAGTTGTTTGGTTATGAGCCAAGACTGAAGATATACAAGCTTATGGTTAGTATTATCCCTTTTTCATATATTTTGGTTATTGTTTTAGTTAGCTAGATGGATGTGTTGTAGTTAAATAATCGAATGGCTTCTATACTTATATCATTGTTTGGTTTATGTAATTGTTGGCGCCAATATCTTGACTCGCTAAAAGTGCATGTAAATTTCTTACTGAAACAAGCATGGTTGACGTGTCAGTCAAGGGGTCCCTGCATCTGTGGTGTTCGGCTCGCTATGGTGGTCGACCATGGAATACTTGTGAGGGAGAGCACCCCTTTAGTGCCTCTTCGCGTAGTTCCTCTGGCGTGCACAACTTAAGCCTTGTTACCATGGATGACAAAGTCTGCCTTGTCGTGACGACCACGCGCGGGTACACACATAGGCATACTATAAGATCGTTATTAATTAATCCATGCAGTTTCATGTCCAGGCCAATGT